TGAAATTTACTTAATCTCAGATCAGTCCAAAAATCAAAACAAACATTTAAACTCAATTATCTCAAAATAAACTATATGTCAAAATGGGCCTTTTTAATACAAGACACTCCATATATTCAAAGATTCTTTCTACTAATTCAGTAGGTAAGACTGTTTTTAAAAAAATATTCTTTAATATATGGTATCTTATAATTTTTTTTAATTTATTATTTTATTCTAAATATATAATTTTTTATATTGTTTATTTTATACTTAAATTAGCAATTCTAAATTAGGTTTAATTAATTAAATTATGTATATATATGTTAATTTTATTATGTACTTGTTATAGTAATTCCTAATTTGAATAAAATAATTAATGAAATTAATGCCTTTGAGAGAAGAAAAAACTTAGTTTTTTTGGTCTATTGAAAATTGCCTATAAAAAGCCATGAAAAAATACCAAGTTCAACATCAAATCAGTTCTGATTTGATAACGAATACAGTTAGCTACGCTACAGATATTTATTTGAGAAACAAAATTGTTTCTTAAAATGTCTCTTAATAGAGACATTACTACACATTTTGTTCGATTCTCTCTAATTAACTATAAAATTGTTCACGAATCATTTATTGTTAAAAATTCAATTGCTTGGTGGAATATCGATTTTGAATGTTTATATGTAATTCAATATTCAAAATGAAATTCTAAAGAAAAATTTGATATGTTGGAGCATAGCCAGCATATTAAATTTTTTGATTTTTTTCAATGCAAATATTTTAACAAACGTGAATTTGAACCACAACGTTGCCAATATGATAATTGGCATAGAGATAATTAGTATCTATTTAGTCAAAGGTGTTATTATTACAAGTTGTTACAAAGTGTTAATAAGTCTCTTCCAAAAAAAGAAAAATTAAGCAAAATGTCAAAAAAAGGATCACTTATGCGATTTAAAAGATATTTTCGCACTTACAAACTTAATTATAATATATTTTTTTGGATTAAAAGCTTTAAAAATACAGACACAACAATTTACAAAGATAAAATTAAACTTTTATGTAAATTTAAACAGTATGTATTTCGTAAAGGTAAAAAGAAAAAACAAGTACCTATTGCCAAAGAAATTGAAACAGATGTAAATGCTCGTTTAGAAAAAATTAAAGAATATTAGCCTGTTTCACCAGAATATCAACCTCAATTACTATCTGCTCAGTTTAAGACCGAGTAGATTTTTTTCTACGTAAAAAAAATGGTCTTCTGAAAAAATTTATTATAATTACTTAAAGAAATTGATTGTTCAAATGCAATTTCAATCATTGAGGATATTTTCAATTATCTAGATGAACAACAATATTTGGCACCAAAGACTCAAATATTTAATTTTGAAAGCATATCCACATATCTTACTTTAAATCCCCAAATAGATAAATATTATTTTTTTCAAAATGCAAATGATCTCAATTCTATCAATACAAAACATCAATACCAAAATGGATTAAACAAAGAAAGATGTTGGAATTGTCAAGAATCATTCACACATGAATGTTGTGCAGCATGTAAAAAAATTGAATGTGATTGTATTTTCATATGTGGATATACATATCCATCACAAAAAAACAAACAAAGCAAAGTTACACAATTTGCTAAATGCAAATATTTTACAAATAATTACAATATTATTCATAATTGTAAAGAAAAAATTTGTAATGATACTGTAGTTCTTTTTATAAATGAACAAAAAAACTCAACAGTACAAATACAATTCTATCAATAGAAAAAATATTTGTTCTCGTTGTGGTGGTAATTATTTAGAAACACATTGTTCTCAACTTTATTTAGGTTATATTTAATTTTATTTTGTATTTATTATTTATATTTTATTTAATAAAATATACTTAGCTAGTAATTTTACCGGCTAAGTTTTTATTAATGTAAATTAAAATAACTACAAATTATTATCATCAATATTGTTCTGATTATAAACAATTAATTAATTATATTTTAACAAAACAAATAACTGATAAGTTATTTGAAAAAGCACAGGAATTTGTTAAAACTTATCAGATACTTTTTAATAAATATCAAATTAATAAATACAATTTAACAGATATTAATACTATAACACAAATTTATCAATTAATAATAACAGCTTATAATTTAAAATTAAAATTATATAAAAATAAAATTAATTTATCAATTATTATCGAATAAAGTATCTAATTAGTCAATGACCAATTAGAAATTTAGTTGTGTAATTATGGAACAATTTTGAAAAGAATCAGAAAACTTAAAAGCTGATTATACTTATAATAGAAAATCTATAAAGAAGCTCAAAAATTTCATGATAAATATATGATCTTGTTTAATAAAATAGAACTTTATCAATATTACAATTTAACAGAAATCGAAACAGAATTACAATTTCAACAGTTAATTACAATTATTTATTTAATTGAAATAAAAAATAAATCAATCTAATTAGTTAACAACCGATTAGAATTTTAATTATGTAAAATAACTACACTTGAATTAATTGTTGAAAATATTTTTTATATTTTTAAATTTTATCTTATTTTTAATTATATTATTATTCTATTAATTATTCTTATTCTTATTTATTATTTTCATGACAAAAATTAATATAGCAATTGATGGATATACTGCATCAGGTAAATCAAGTGTTGGTGAATTGTTAGCAAAAAAATTAAATTATCGATTTATCGATAGTGGATTATTCTATTGTTACATAGCATCAAATTTTTCTGATTTAGAAGAATTTAGAATAATTTTATGGTTGTCAAATCAACAAGAAGAAAATATATTAACCCAAGTTAATCAAATCAATAATAATCAATTAATTTCAGATGAATTGTTAATTAAAGTTGCGAATAATGTTAATATTCGTAAAGCTATTAACAAAGTTATACAAGAAATCACAAAGCAAAAGGGATATATTGTGGCAGGTCGTGATGCTACTTTTAATATACTTCCTGATGCTGAAATTAAGATTTTTTTAACAGCTGAATTCAATGCTCGAGTTAATCGTCGAATCAAACAATTTAATATTAAAGCATTTAATAATGTATGGTTGGAAATACTTAAACAAGACTCATCATCATCTGATTTAATTAAACAAGCAAAAAAGATATCGCAAAACATCGATACAACATATCTTGAATTGTCTGAGGTGGTTGATAATATATGGGGTGTTATCAATTAAAACAGCCCTTTTTTACTTTTTTTAAAAAATTGAGTTTTTTCGATTTTCTAATAG